TTCCTGCTCTTTATTAGTTACTACAGCTGCTATTTAGGGCCTGCTTCGTTTCTAGTGTAATGACACCTTACCCTATCCTGTCTCACTCAGGGTTAAAACAACATTCCTTACAAATCTTTACACTAAATCCCTCAAAGACATTGAGACTAAACATTTACATATAAGACTAGATATTGCTTCAGCGGTATAACTTGTGCTGCATTATAGAAGTTAACATCCCCAGTTTACACAGCTAACAACAGTTTTAGAATACTTTCCACAGTATCTCACAAATAGTTTTCCAGGGTTGGAACATGTGATGTGTGCTGTGACTGCTGACCAGTAGAGGGAGACCGGACACTGCAGTGAAATAAAAATCCAAGGCAAAGTTTTTCAAAGGATGCCATTAGAACACAACACAGATTAATTTTTTCTTCTTCTTCTGTTGACTGCTACTAGTTTACACTAAAGGAGGCAAAAATTGAGCCCTTGTATATTCTGTGTCAGCTCTAACACCATTAAAAGTCAGAATTTAAATATGTGGAAAACTTTTTTAAGGCACCAGGCTTTTTTGTCTCTTTGCTTTTTAAATTGGGCAAAACATTGGTGAAACAGATCCAGGAAAGACAAACATCTGCAAAATCCTGTCAGTTTGAGAGGATTCATGGACACTGAATGTTCCAAAGCTGTGTACTACATTTTCAAAATAAGAACTGATACAAAATCCTGAAGTACTGAAAAATAATGTATATACAAAAAATTGGTATAAGTTTTTGACTATCGTTATTAGGCACCTTCACCACCATGTACTCATTAGCTGTTTAAAAAACACCAAGCTATTCTATTTTTATATCCCAGACACGTGTGTGCACTGGTCACACTGATCAAGCTGAAGAAATATGATGTGTTTGCAAGATACTGAAGGTGTAACATTAGTACAAGATGCTAAGTAACAGAACTGCAAAGGGAAATAGTGAAGAGAAGTATTTCAGAAGATCTCCCAGCAGTGTAGCCCAGGATGAGCATTCAAATCAGCCTGTTTTAATGTCTGTAATTTGCTAGTTTTGCAGAATTTACAAAGTTGGAAGACAGTGCCAGTGCTGGAAGAGGTCTACTGCTTTTTAGTCACATTAGGACTTTATAAATTAAAAGCAATGCAACTGGGATTAAACATAATGGTGCAAAGTAAAAAACAACGGTTTGGAGAAAAAAAGCTCCTCACCAGTAATCCAGGTTCAAGATATGGCTCACATCTGTCATATACTAGTCTAGATGAGTAACTACAGCCTCTTCTTCTACCACACCACTGTTTTCAAATACCTGGAGAAGCAGACTGAAAATATCACCCCATGATCAGAGACAAAGGCATGCCTTGTTCTTCTCCAGATGTAATCCATGACTATCACTAGGAATTCAAAAGACAGGGATTTTGGTGAAAGCTTTCCCAATCCATTAAGTTGCCCACTTTCCTTTATGGTGAAAGTTCATGAGGTTCATTCACTTTCACTCTGCTTCTCCATAATTACCTCCTGCTGACTCACCAACTGGACATGAAACAAACTTCTTCACATTAATTGCTAGAGCTTTGTTGACATAATGCTATGAAAGCTGATACCTGCCTGGATCTTATGAAACTCATCAAGAGAGCTGGAGAATCCAAATGGAACGAGTGACTTGCCTCCATGGCTCCAAAATTAACATGTCCAGGGAATTAAGAATATTAATCTTTTGCATAGTGACAGTGACTGAGCTCAAGCCTTTGACCCCAGGTGACCACTGACAGCTTAATACACAACAGGTTGCAGGTCATGTCAACAAGCTGCAGGTACCAACTCCCAACAAATTATCTCATATCTTGAGAATAAATATCCTCTGGAATCAAAAGAAAGCTAATAGTCTTTGAGAAGAGATGAAAGTGTCAGTACTACCATCCCAAATTTGACCTTTCATGTTCCGAGAGACAGAGAAAAATTTCAGAAAAGAAATGTGGCAAAACAGAGTAGAGTGAAGTATTCCTTAGGATTACACCTAAATGTAACAAATACTCTTCATTACAGCTTACTGTGCTTGTATAATCAGAGTACATGTGACCGGTGAAATGCAAGAACAGATGCAGTTGAAAGATGGTATCAAAACAGTCAAGAAGTGGAATATACAAAGAAAATAAATAATGTCCACATTTCAGCTTTGTAGGACTGATGTATGTGTGATTAAAAGCTCCCCCTCTAAGACTAGAGACATCTCTAAGCATAGTGTCCAGTAAAGCACTAGGAAAAGAGAAGTGACCATTCCATTGACAAAAAGATGCTTAAACATGAAAAGTAGAAGTCTGCTTTTCTAGGTGAAGGACTGAGACACTGGTGACTGCTGCTCTCAAGTGTTGCTTTCTCTCAACTACCAGATCAATTAGCAGCAGGTTCTTTGGTACACGGGCAGATTCTTAACCTTCCTCAAGTTTTACCATAATACTAGTACTGGATAGGATACTTACCTTGGAGGACTCAGCCAAGGTATCAGAGGCAACACACTGCAGCCTCAGTGTGCTCAGAGTCTAAAGAGTCAAGAAATAAAAGGAAACTCCCTGACTAGCAAGATGCCTGGATAACTGAACAAATCCACTGCTGAAGTTACAAAGCTGGTTTTTTTTTTGTACTGAGCAGTAACTGAAGCTCCAGTGTTTTTAGCCATGCTGCAGAAATCAAGGAGGATGCTGTTGGTCATTGTATAAATAGACATACATGCAGTGCTCTTCATTCACCCCATTACTGTGCCTGTTGTGCAATGTAAGCTTTCCAGCTTTTAGATAACAGCATTAAAACTTGCATTATATATGATTATCTGATAAACAAGTGTAAACATTTTGGGACAAAGTAGCTATTATATAGTTGCCTCTGACTGTGGGAAGTTAAAAAGTCTAATTGAGCAGTACATTCCAGATCAAAACCACCTAATAGACTTAGTTAGGCCAGAAGTGGAGCATCTTTAAAATGAAAAACATATCAAAACAAACAAAACCCAAAGCAAGCCAAAAAACACCAATTGCAAAATCCAGGCAACAAAAGAAAGCCATAGCTTTCTACCACACTGCTGAATAGATTGCTTTGTTTCTATAGCAGGCAGCTAATGCTTTCTTTTGGCAAACAAACTCTTCAGAAAGAGCCAACAGTCTAGCAGACGATTTACTGATTAAAAGGAAAAAGAGAAATTAAAATGTTTCTGGAGAATCTAATAATTTGCGTAATTAAACCATCCATTTTAGTCTTAAATTGTCTTACCAATACAGCACAAAAAGGCTCACAACACCTGGATAGTCTATTGCCCAGGGATCTTTACATAAAACGCCTTTAAGTTCCGATAGCCATAAAGAAGTGAATGTAAGTTTGGGGTCATCTAAAACTTTTTTAGATAGTGATACCAACTGCAAAACAAATTATATCCTCTTTCTGTTCTGCTAGGAATTCTTGTCCCAGCTCCTCCTCTAGTATAACATAAAAGATACAATTCAAACAATATGAGTTTGTACATTCAAAGCATAGAATTACAAGAGAATCTATCTTCAAGAGATTGAATTTAACAGCCAGGAGACATTCATTTAAGAAAAAAAGAACTGCAAGCAAAGAGACTGAAAGGAGAATACTCACTTGTAGTGTAGTGTCGAAGACAACAAGCTTAGAGCTTGTTGGAACAATGTCATAACACTTGTGTGACCTCATGAATCGCACATAAATGTCACTTTCCGATTCTTCAAGTGCTGCAAATAAAAACATTAAGTTGCTTTAAGTAACCTTAAAAGAAACGTAAAAACACACCCGATCAACTCAATGCCATTGCAGAAGGACAACCCTAAAGCAAAACTCAAATGCACACTTTCAGATCTGGACAATCGTAGTTTTGCACTTTGCATTTCAGACACTTTCCTTTCAAATCAAGTATAACAAAGACAAAATGCATTGCTGATCCTTGATGAAAACAGACTATTGCACTGAAGAGTTATATTTAAAAATAATTTGTTTTTTTTTTTCTAACAGCAAACTAGTGGAATATGCATCTCAACTCTACTTATATACAGAGGAAGCCAGTTTAAAACTTCAATAGCATCCAGCTTGACTAACGGAAACACCTTAAATTATTATTTCTCCAGCCTCACCTTTGTCCACTCCACTTTACAATTGGTAAGAGATTAGAAAACTGTGTGAGTCTTCTATACAGGTCCTCTCATCTTCCAGAGGACAAACTCACTGCTTTTGGTTGTATCCAACCACCACTGCATGGCAAATACAAATAATCAAATATAAACATCCTAATCTCCATTAGGATATTTCTACTTTATTACCTATTTTCTAGTTTACCTTGTTTTCTGATAAAGGCTCATCCTTTTGAGCTATTACAAAGCTTCTGCAGTCTTATCCAGTAACTGCAAAGCAGTGCTCCCCTCCAATGGACAAGAACAGATGCCTTCCAGCTTGACTTAAAATCTCACTCAAGTCTCTGCATGTCGTCTCTGATCTGCACAGAGATCACCCTACGACCACACAGGAGCTATGAATATACACCAGCCACGCTTTCACCACAGGGTCAGTAACAGTCAGATGTTGATATGACAGTGGTATACTACATGAACTACAAAATCTCTGCTCCTGCTTGCAAAAGTAACTGAAGTGACTGAGGTATCCAAAACTAAATATGCAGAAGCCCCAGTTACACTAATTTAATGCTTAAGATGTCCTAAGCTGTGTCACACTGATAGGCCACAGAGGAGAAGGACTACTTGCTACAGTCTAGCTTCTTAGATCAGGGACTTCCTGAGTCGTCCTTCTTGAAAACTGAAGCAGAATCACAACAGTGCTAAGCACCATCTGTCGTTGACATGTCAATTGTATTCTTTCTCCCTTGGTTAGGTGCCCAAAGTATGCCTTTCCCATTTTGCTTCTGCAATAACTTTTGCCAGGAGTGGGAAGATGGAAAGGCATTAGACTATTGTAATTGCACTAGCATGACACAGGCAGTTGCAGATAAATGTTATGGAGTAGATCTGCCTGACCTTAGCTCTAGACCAAGACTTAGGACACTGCCTCCAGCCAAACCTCAGCTTTCTACAGCTCATGATCTGGAAAGCAGTTGGCTCACAGACAAAGCAGATTCTGAGCAGGAGGCATCTTAATCTAGAGCGGGATCAGGGGAGGAGAAGAGTCCACTAATAAGTAGTTGAATGTTTATTTCCATGTGGGTGTTCACTCATAAAGGTTATTTCTTGAAGATTCATCAGGAAGTTATTTCACAAGACAACATTCTCGACGTGCACCCCCTCTCCCCCAAGTCTCATCATACAGACTTTTACAGAGTAAACTCTCTCTCTGCTTCAGCATTGTATTTATTCTTACAGGTAGAGATCCTTTAAAGAGTGAAAGATCCATCTATTTGTATTTCTGCCACTCTATTCCCCTACCTTATTCACTTAAGATCAACTGATTTTACTCCTTTCCTTGCTTCCACCCTTCACTCTAACATGAGGCATCCTTTAACTTATTTCAAGCAGAAAATATTATTTACAAAAACATAACAGCTTTATTTTTCTTAACGGATTAATTACTTAGCAATACTGACTCAGACATTGCAGTGGGACTTGGTACTAAGTATAACTGTCTATTTAGAGAGCTCTAAGGTAGAACTATCATCTGAACAATCATCATAAATGAAGGGAAATTTCTGCAGCATTACTGAAGCCATCTTCTCAGAGATCCACTGAAAAAAACCCTTCAGTTCCACTCACAGATTTGCCACCAGGCAGGGCACTATTCTACTGTAGCTTTCCCTTCAGAATGTCAAGGCCTTGAAGCCTTGAAGTCTTGAAACAGAAAAGGAAAAAGAAGGGTCTGCAAATAGAGAACAGGAACATGCAGTAAGGTCAATACATATTGAAAAGCTTCCAAAGACTGTGGCAAGAAAACCTACAGAAAGTTCTTCAGAAGCATCTGCTGCAACCCACAGGCTGTATTTCTGTGCTCTATTCACACTGGGCTGACCCAACAACAAGATCCTGGACCATACATGCTTCCCAATTTCAATAATACAGAATAATGACTTTTCCTATTATATTAAGTATTATAGCTATACTAAATTCCTTGTATTTCTGCACTGGTGCACAATAACATTTCAAATTTAGTCTGTGTTTTCAGAAGTGCTTGTTTGAAAAGACAATTGAGGATTCCACTACTCTCATCTACTTTGAAGAGTTAATTCCACCACAGACCACTACCATGCTGCTGCAGCTCTACAGCACCCCTGCTCCTCATGGTCAGATTGAGAGCTGGGAGCTCTCGTGTATGATTCATGGTCAGATTGAGAGCTGGGAGCTCTCGTAATTCTTAAGTAGCTGAAGAACACAAAGAACCCTTCTTATGGAACTAAACAACTGTTTGTATAGCTGACATTTCTAAGTTTACTATGAAGTTAACTGCCAAATTTTCAAAGCCCTTAAAAAAGCAGGGAAGAAGGAGCCAACAGAAGTATGTAAAAAATATACTCAGCTAACTGTCTAGCCTGGTGAACATCTTACGAGGAAGGCAAGAAACCAAGAATATACATGACAAATCCACCATCCCCCCTGACTTTTAATTAGAATCTGTCTGGGAAACTGAGCAACTTTAAGAGCTCAGAGTTTTCTTACAGCAGCGGGAGCAAAGCAATTCCAGGACCCACTACTAAACACTTCAGCTTGACTATTAGCATAACCACCTTCCCTCAGCCAGTTCAGGTGGTGGATAAGAGGAAATAGCAAAGGGAGCAGAAATGTACTTTTCTGATATTCTCACATATACTACACAACCTAGTTACCAGAACAAAACCTTTTCATTTACCGCACACATACATTTCTGTACTTTAGATTACTACAAGTCACACTCCTATTTTTAAAAAAGTGAAGTAATGTATTGAATATCACACTTCAGATGCTAGAGAATTGAAATGTTACAGTTAGAGATAAAAGGTATTTTTTCATCCCATTGTTTACTACAGAACTTATCCAACAGCAATACATTAGGTGAAGCTTATCAGCATAATTATACTGATAAACTTTACTAAAGGAGTGTTATACAAATAAGTGCACTCCATACTATTTATTCTCTATTATCACTTAATCAAGTGAAGTAAGTCTTTTGTTAATACAGAAGAAAAAAATTAGGCAAACACATATCATCAGAGCGAAAACAGGAATCTAAGAGCTGTTCATGTGCTTCTGGCTTCAACTGTAATTTTAAAAAAAATAATAATTATGTCCCCAACCAACACTCCTTTGTCAGCAAATACAGAATAACTACCTTTTCAAAGGCCAGGTGTAAAGATGTGCCTCCACAGCAGTATAAGCAGCAGCATGACACTGGGAACTACGCAGTACAAGGACACCATCCTTGCAGTGGCAGCCAGCCATTTGATCAGCTTATTTATGTCAAATGATGCCAGAGACACCAGGGTGACTAATCACTTAAATAAACCAACACGGGTTACTCTCTTCCTACTGTTAGAGATAACCCTTGTCTTTCACCTATTGTATGCTGTGCCATCATTAACCTTGTAAAGTGCTCTTCTGCCTGCATTTTTATCCAAAAGCTGTCACCAAAACCAGCTATAAAGTTTCTGCTCACCTCCAGTATGAGCTTACTGAATGAGTTCCTCAATACTCATGATAAGCTCTCCCACAACTTCAGCTAGAACTACTAGATCTCCTTCATTGTGGAAGTCATTAACACATCACTTCTAATAGACCTGAAAAAATATCCAGAAAGGATATAGTTAATCTACTTCAAGAGCAACAGTGACACTTAAACTATTCCTCAGATGTCTCTACAAGATCACCAAGAGCCCCCAAAACATGAGATTCAAAGGAAATGTAGATATCTGAATGAAGAAGCATGGTTTCAAGAACAATGTTCCAGGAATCAATCTGTTCAGGTCAGATTTCCTCAGCATTCCTCAGCTAAGGGACAGAGAGAAACAGATTTTGAAAAGGATTCCAGTGCTATGCTGTGTACAGTATATTGCTGTGGTCATGAGCAGCAGCTTTACATCAACTTACATTCTGCAAGATAAATATTACTGATTAGATTTTTATATAGGTTCAAGTTATATACAAATGAAAATGTATATGATGTATCCTGTGAAAAGTATGGGAACTGAGGGACTGGGAGAGAAGAACAAGAAACTGCAATTTTGTCACAGAAAAATCAGTAAGAGGGCATGACTTTTCAGTCTCCTGAGCTGTCTGCCAAAAAGACAAAAACACTGAAAATAGTGAACAAGAAACAAAGACACCAGAAGCTGAATCAATGTCAGACTTGCTGGGAGAAGAATACTAACATAGTAAAAGAAGGGCAAGCCAGAAAAAAGAAGTGAAGGTGCACTGTATCATTTTGTTTCTGATTATTCAAAAGGAAACTTTTCTTAGGAAAAAAAACCCAAACACCAGAATAACCCCCCATACAATCGGCCACGGAATAAGACTGACTGGTAAATAAAGATGGAAGAAGTAGGAAGGGATGTTTACAGGGGATGCCTACCTTAAGTATCAGGAGATATATAATAATTAAGGTTTTAGAACATGCTTAGCACAACTTTGCTGTCCAGATAACAACCAAGGCTATCAAAGGACTACTTCAAATTGTAGAGGGGGAGAAAAAAATGAATAGGTTTAAAGTTTAATACATAAGAACTAACATGATGACAGTGATAGAAGTTGACTATTCCATCACAACCTGAAGGAAGTTCAAGTGCAGGGAGTAAAAAAGAAAGGATGTACTGACAGAGACTTTTTTTTTTTCTTTCCGAAAGCTGCAAAGAACTTTAAACTGTCCTGGCAGACCACACATTAGAGTTACACTGTAGCATTATTCAGTCACCCACAATGATATGGATGTTGCAGATTTCCCACCAGATATAAAGGAATGCATGAGCTGGCAGCTAAAAGAAGATCATAAGTTTACAGATGTAAGATACTCTGATCCAAAGAAGTAATAGGGAATGTATCTAAAGATCAGTATCAGAAGCTTCTTCAGTGATGAAATATGAATTCAATTACATATTACAGCATGAATATGTGACAGGATAAATAAGATTTTTAAAAGAAGCTTGAGCACACAGGGACAACATTAGAGTAAGCAAGCTCTACCCTACAAACTGTATCTCATCCTACAGACAGGAAGACTGTCTAGAGGTACACAAAACAAAAGGCGTATTTTTAGCCACCTGTAAAAGGCAGCTCATCAAAAACAAAGAAGAAAGCCCATGAGGTATCAAGAACTGTTCAGCCTAATCAGTTTTTACTCAGGATGAAGCGATCAACTTGATGAAAAAGGCGGCAAACATCACAGTATGTTTGAGAGACTGATCTCAAAGCAAGCTTGGAAATCAAGGTGTGGAAAAGGAATGGGAGAATCACCGCAAAGTAGCTGCATAACAAGCAATCCCAGTTGCAGCAAAGCTAGTGAGATGTTTATTTTTTTATTCAGTGTGTTTGCAAGACAGGATGACAACTGTGTGTTTTTAAGAAGATAGGAGCTCCAGTTCAAACTCTTCTCAAAGTTGGAATATTTCCAAGGTCCACCTTATGCAAACCAGCTAGTGCGGAATGGTAAGTTCACACCACAGCACTTTGGTATGGGTGAGGTTCAGGACACCCTTCCCACTTCCACAAAGCTTCACAGAACTAAGGTTTTGCTTGAAACCTGCCTTTCTGAGAAATTAAACTAATCATCAGGTCCAAGAATTGTTGAAGGAACATGGAAAGGAAAGAGGTCTCAGTAACAAAAAAGAGACATCCTGACCACATGTGTTTAGTTTTCTACAAATTACTCTGGAAGAGCTTTTATCAGTAGCTAGATACTTCACAGGGAAAACACTGCCAGGGAGTCTCAGGACTTCATTTCATGGAGCATTCTCTTTAGTGATCTTCAAACCAAGAATAAAACATGCTTTGAAGAGTTTGCAGTGAGAGCTAGGAATGGTTGCAAGATTTCAAACCTCCCAGTATCTTCAAACTGAATCAGTAAGTGGTTTGGAGTTAACATGATCTTTCAGAGAATATCAGAATCAGAAAGGAACCCTCAACTGGATGATTGCAAATTAGGGGCATGACTAAACACTATTAAGACAGAACTACCCTGTTATTAATTTGATTTGTTACTGCAGAAGAAGGGAAGAAAAGGAAGGGTTTGCTTAAACAAAATAATCAAACAAAAAAGCCACCCCAGCTGTTAAAGAGCTATTAACGCATTCCTGAAGCTGGTTAGACAGAACAAAGCAACTTCAGGACACTGTACAGTCTCCTTCCTTAAAGGTCCTAAATATGGAATGAGACAAGTGTCTGCAATTGCATAAGCACATCGTGCTTTACTGAAGAACAAGAAAGGCTATTAGCTCCTGAGAATACTTCAAAAGATCCACTTTTCTGGTTTTGAGGCTTAAATATCTCCACTTCTTCAAACTTTAATAGCAGCTAAGACTTGTAAGAGAAAATTAATACAAATAGCTGCCTGAAACAATAAAAAAATAAATCAAGATTGTGTTTTCAATCTTCCTTGTATTCATAGCACACTTCAAAGTCCTGTACTGAATTTTCTCATTTTTTTTGAGAAAAGTCCTAGTAAATGGGATGAGAAGTTAACACATCTTTTTTACTGCAGCTCTCCACTGGCAGTGTGAATAAGCAAATCATCACATGAGATTTGAGGCAGACAAATGTGATGAGCAGTTTAAGAAACTTCACATTCCACAGCTAATCATGGTAACTCTTAAGTTTCTTGTCCAGGCAGGCAGAGAAACTTACTTGTTTACAAGCAAAAGCTGCCTTGTTTGGGGACTAACTGGTGAGACAATATCAGAAGTTCAAGTGAGTACTTTTGAAACAGCCCACTGCCACTCAAATGGACTTGTGGTCAAACTTAGAGATGAGTGCTTTGAGGAAAGTTTATTCACAAAACTACGGTGATGTAAGGTAGCAACTTCAGCCTACTACCTAATAATGCTTCAAAGATTTTCACCAGAATAAAGAATAAGTCGACCTGATGAATTTTCTAAAACATGTTCAGATCTTCCCTTGACAACAAGCACCACGATTTCCCCCTAAGCATCCCAAACAAAGATGTAATTTAAGACGTAGCCTGTCTGGAATGCAGGCATGCCCTTCAAGATTGCGAGACGCAGGCCACAAGAGACTAAAAATGGTATTAAGCCTATGAATACTAGTATCAGGAACCATACACTGGTGAGCCAAATTCAAGGAAGGTTTAAGGTCTGTGATTAATGAAAGAATAAACCAGCCTGTATCCTTGGTAGCTATACTGGAGGACTGATAAACAATTTGAACTTTTGCTATTTCTTTAAAGCAAGCTGAAGTCCTCCTCCATTCACAGTTTGCACACACTTCATAAAATTTAAATTTAAATCTTTTAGGATTTAAATCTTTTAGGAATTAGCTTAAGATCAAACCTAAACAAGCAGCTTAACCAAAGCATTATTCACAAGACAAGCATTTTCAAGATGAATACACAGTATCTTCACAATCCATGGTTGTATCCTTACTAAATAGGGCAAGTATCTAGTATTTAGGAGATCTTCCACTGAAGACTAACAAACTAAACTCAAAGCATCACTTACATAATGTTTTAAGGAATAAACACATATTTAGTTTTCAAGACTTTGCACTATGTTTGCTAGAGAAACAGTTTTGTCAGGTCTAATAAACTGTTAGTCTCAAATCCTGAACGACTACTTACAGCATCTTAATTCAAAGCTTTTAATAATTCAGTATTTACATTTTCATTTCTCTCTAGTCTTCACTTAGACATTTCCTCTCCTTCCCTGTGCATGCCAACATTCTCTAAATAGCTGTTATTGCCATTTCTTAGTACAATGTATGAATCTGTATGCACATTTCAATAGATTATTAAGTGTTTTATTTCAATATACCACTCTAGGGATTTACCTAATGGTAGGTGTAGCTTGGAGCTATACAGAAAGAGAATCAGCAGTTTCCTTAACTGAAGTAGGTGAGATCCCCAACTCAATACAGTGTATTCAGATATGTTTTTCTATTGATCCATTCTCTACACCATAGACAAACTTCAGCTTCACCCAAAGCTGATCTTCCTCTGAACTCATGCATCCACAAAGAGCTTTAGGTTTGTTTGTTTGGTTGCAGTTTGTTGCTGTTGTTTTTTGGTGTTATCTCAAGAATACAAGGGTGTTCAACCAAGACTATGGCAGGAGAGATAAATGCAATTGCTTGTGTACAGCAAAGCAGGGCAAAGCTATAGCTATTCACCTTCTGCATCATGGCATTCAGAGCCTTCTATCAAAGGCAACCACACAGTCCCTTTCACTGAACGATCCCACTGCACCCTGAAGTGCTTCAAAGCATTAGAAGTCTATCCTAAAAGCTCACTCCTATACTAACTATGCTGGAAGTTAGAATATTCTATTTCAAATATATTAAATTATTCTATATTATTATATAGAAAGAGTTTCTATCCATTTGTTCTTGTGCCAATG